TCTTAGAGGGATAGCTTTCAGTTTTTCACCACTGAGGATGATATTAGCTGTGGGTCTGTCATATATGGCCTTTATTATGCTGAGGTACTTGCAAAAGGAATTCTTAACTAATACAATGAGGGAACTTTTTCTTGAGGGAACTTTCTGGGAAGAAAATTAGATGTACTGAATTAGGATCTCTGGGGCTTTGGTCTGGGAATCCATCTTTTTAAAAAGTTCACCAGGTGATTCTGATGCAGCTGGTCCACAGAGGGCATTCAGGATGCTCTTATAGGAAAGAACAAATAATGAGGATTCTCTCCCTGACATGAAGATGCCAATATATAGGCTAACTAGGACATATACTTTGTTTTTCCAACAGTAGTTATAAATTTACATAATGCTTGATACACACTAGGTTCTCAACAAATGCTTAATCATTGTACCTCCCAATCACTTAATTCTTATCTTTCTCCTTGGTCCTGTCCTTATCCAGTGGCTGTTTATAGGAGGGGACAACCATAGCCATGAATGAGAGTGGAGCTAACGGACCTATGTGGGAGATTAGAATATTAAATTTTGATTTCATGAGGTCCGTGTTCTCACCTAAAGAGCTCACTAGTCTACAGAGAGTAGGCAACTTACTGATCCATAAAATAGGAAATAATGTGAAGAGTTTTATTAGACCAAAGTGGGTAAGATGAATTATAAACATTCTAAGAAAATAGGACATTAAAGATCAAAATGAAAATAAAAATTTCTAGTGATGTTACAGATGTTTTGTCCTAAAAAATTACTTAGTAGATACTTTGCTTTATTAACTTTTTTTTTTAATCTTTCTGTGCCTGTTTACTCTATTAAGGTGTCCCCTATACTTACCATCCGGCCAAACGGCTGATATAGTAGTACAGCCTGGAAATCTATTAAAACAATCATGAATAACAGTTTTATTTGTTGTCATTTATTATATACTGTCAAAGAATCACTATATTTTTAACATTTACCTTATTGACCAACAAATTCTTACTCTTAATACTGGGTGTTGAAGATAATTGTTTGGATGCTCATACTGTCAATACAAATATCTAAAGTACTTTTTAATATTCGAAGTTTCTATTTGCAATACTTATTTAAAAAAATGTTACTTACAGGTATTTTGTTACTTTCTGATACTGCTTCATCATAAAAAGTGCCATCTGTTTCTAAATCCAATCTTGGCCTTTTCCTAAGGTTGACGGCTTCCTCTTGTTTCTGAGTGTTCACTTTGATTTCCAACTCTGGTTTTGTGTTCTGGAATAACTGTTCCAATATTTCATTTTCTATGGCTAAATCATCAATTTCTTTTATTTTTTCTGATCTTAGTTTTTCTGTAGAAAGAGATTTATTGGTCGAATTTTTCACAGTGGATTTTAAATCTGTATTTGTAAATAAGTTATCTGTTTTTGTCCCCACAGGCTCATTCTGAGATAGATGCTGCTCCTTATTTTTCCACATTGAGGATGTAGCAGGTTGTGTTTGTTCTAAAGGAGAACAAGACATTTCTGTTCTTGCTGACTTAGATGAAGAAATTTCTTGATTTTCTTCATCCCTTTCCCTTAGATTTAAAAAAAGAGAGAAGAAAACAAAAAGAGAAAATGAACACAGCTAAGTAACTTTTTAGTTTGGCAATATTCACTCCCTCCCCCATTTAATTCACAATATTCTTGAGTTTATTTATTAATAACATCACTGGAAATCAAAAAATAGACTTCTGAAAACAGTACATCATTCATATACACTACATCATTTTGATGAGACTGATCAACCCTATGGCTAAAACAATTTGGAGATTTCTATCTTCTATGCTGAAATAGCAGTGGTTGATAAATCAATGTAGAGAAAAAGGCAGAAAAAATATAAAAATACAAAGGAATTGTCAGGAAAAAATCGCTTACTTTATAAGTAAGGGAACTTATGGGCAGGGAAAAATTACCCTGGGATAAAACCTGATGGGTTAATGAGAACTTGATTCAAGACAGTAAGTCAGAGTGGCTAAATCCAGAATATATTACAGACTATACACCGCAAGTAATATGTAAATAGATGACTCAGAGTTTTCTATATAGTATCATTCACTCAATAAGTACCGAATATTATATTCATTTAAATTGTACTAAGACCCATAGGGCCAGCCTTGATGGTCTAGCGGTTAAGATTCAGTACTCTCACTGCCATGGCCTGAGTTCGTCTGCCAATCTGGGAACCACACTACCCGTCTGTTGGTTGTCATACTGTGGCGGCTGCGTGTCTCTGTGATGCTGAAAGCCATGCCACCGGTATTTCAAATACCAGCAGGGTCATCCATGCTGGACAGGTTTCAGCAGAGCTTCCAGACTAAGACAGACTAGGAAGAAGGACCCAGCCATCTACTTCCAAAAAAACTGGCCAGGAAAACACTGTGAACAATAGTGGACATTGTCTGATATAGCGCCGAAGGTGAGAGGATGGTGCAAAAATACCGGGCAGGGTTCCGCTCTCACAGTACACAGGGTCACCAGGAGTCAGAATTCACTCAATGGCACTAACAACAACAACAAGGCCCATAGAGGACACAAAAATTTGGGTCTCTGCTCTCCAGGAGTTTACTGGATTCATGTTGAACTGGAACACTCAAGGTGATATTTTAATAATGCTAGTCTAATGTTAGGGTACTAGACAGACTGATCAAGAGGTTTTCGTAATAACTTAAGCGCTGAGAGTTTGAACCAAAGAGGTGGCAACACAAACAGACAGAAAGGGAGGAATTTATAAGACAATGAAAATAAGAATCAACACCACTGGTTTGGGGAGGCAGAGGATAACAAGTCAAAGATTTTGACAAAGTGAACTGCTAACAAAAATGCACATTCAGTGACAGGGGAGAAAAAGTTTTAGGCCCATTATTTGGGAAAACAGCAGGAAATTCCTGTGGAAAAGCAGAAGTGAAGCTTAAAGGATAAGTTAGGGCCAAATATATTGATCATCTGTAATAAAGTCATGAAACCCTCAAGGTAAAGTACACAGAGTGTCAAAAGCAGTAGGAGGAGGAAAAGAAGTCCTCCAAGGGGGTGAAGGGGCAAGTCAGAGAGGAGAAAGGAGGAGGATGGGCCACCACCACAAAAACCGAGGGGAGACCACAAGGAGGAGAAAGGTTCAAGGGTTGAATGTTACCAAAAGGCCACTAGAGGTGGCAACTGTGTCAATGGTTACTTTCAAAGATGTCATGTCAAGATGAAATTGCTGGTTAAGAACTATTTCATACAGAAATGGGAGCAATAACAATAATCTCCTATTTTGAGAAGTTTAACAGTTACTGTAAAAGACAAAAGGAAGTAGCTAGAGGAAGAAACCAAGTCAAGGGAAGGTTTTAAAAATAGAAGTGAGAGTTCTTGAATACAGAGGAAAAGGATCTAGAAGAAGATATTAAAGGTGCTAGAAATTGAGAGAATAATTGATGGAGCACGGTCCTAGAGGTAATGAGAGAGGTGACCAAGGGAAACAGGTAGGTCAAAAGAACTCAGGTGTAGGAAAGCACTTCTTCAAGAGAAATGCAGAAACGAAATAACAGATAAGCTAAGATATAGAAGGAAAAAGATGAGGGAGACTCTAGCTAATGAGCTTTCTGAGAGGGAATAAGGTCAAAGGGCCACAGTTTTCCACAGAAGCATACTTAAGCAGAACACATATAGCATTCTACAATCATATAACAAATATAAATATTTTTCAGAGACACAGAGAGGTATTATTAAAAATATACCGTTTTTTGGTAGATGGCTGAAAGTAGTTTTTGATGGAGTTGGTCTGCTGCTGCTGAGAAGCCCAATCTCCACTTTTATTTACACTTGGGAATTTAGTTGGTGAAAGCTGATAGTTTAGGATTTTCATCCTAACAAGAGTATCTGATACTATATTACTATAATTAGAGCTGAGTTTGGGGGGTTCCTTCGCAGTGGATGTTTCTTGTGAAGGCATTCTGAGTTTTTGTTCCATTCTGGACATTTTGATTTCTTTTGGCCTTTCACTCAAATCCATACTGTAGCAAAAGGAAAGAATGCAAGGTAAACAATCAAGTTTACAGTAATTTTTATCTAGAAACAAAGTCCTTTAAGTAGTACTGATGTAATACAGTTTTAGAACATAATTATCTTTAGACAATAATTCAGTGAATATATTTTACTATCCCGGGAAAGTAGCTCCTTTGTTATCAAAGCTCCCTGAAGACAAATGATACCTTTCTCTTCTTCATACTCTACAGCACGTCAGGCATGCTCTACTATAAAAAAACTGCCAAACACACATGGAATGTCAACCAAGTATCTTATTACAGAATTTATTATCACCTATAATTAGGTGATAAATTAGGTTTAATCACCTAAATTAAACTAGATGATAATCCTAGGTAATTTTTGCTTTGTTTAAATAGTTTAAGTTATTTCCAGGCATAAAAATTAACAAAAAATGGAAAATCAGAAAAAGAACACCCTATCATTCCAGTATCATATATAATGGGGTATTCAGATCACTTCAGATGAACTGATATGGTTATATTGCAGCCAGATGGCAGCAGTCTCTAGAATAGAATAGAACTCTAGACTACCAGAAAAATATTTTAAACATAAACATACAGTTCTATTATGTATGGTTGAATATATACTGCCTTTGCTATTCTTATTTCACAAAAAAAGTAAAGCTGTCATTCAAGCGACTTTCAAAACATTGAGAGTTTCTCTTTAACAAGTTATATTTGGTCTCAATATAAAGCATGGGGGTAGTAAAAATTTAAATATGGTCCAATATAGTGATATCATAAGTATCTTTCAATATGAACAGTTCATTATGGATTATTTAAAATGAAATATACTGTCGGGACCGGCCCGGTGGCATAGTGGCTAAGTTTGGCATGCTCCGCTTTGGCGGCCCGGGTTCATGGGTTCTGGATCCCAGGTGCGGACCTACACTACTCATCAGCCATGCTACCGTAGTGACTCATATACAAAATAGAGGAAGACTGGCCACAGATGTCAGCTGAGGGTGAATCTTCCTCAGCAAAAAAATAAAAATAAAATACAATATACTGCCTTTAAATGAAAAATACCATAGAATACAAATGAGCTACCCTTGCTCTCCAAAACAAAACCCCAAAAAGCAAAAAAAAAAACCTTTTCAAATGGAGAACCACTAAAAAACTATCTTTATGAGCAAATACGAATTATTTAGACAGCCAGGCAAGACACATATAAAGTATCTCCAAAATTATAAGTAATGTTCAAATACGGGCAATATCATGTAATACAAACAAATTTATTTCCAGCTTATTTCACCAGTCAGAAATAAAGTAGTATAATTCTTTATAGTCTTCCATGTATACATGCAAGGAACAAAAAAAACTTTATCATAAGACAGGGGTTGGCAAACTATGGCCTGCAGGCCAAATCTGGCCTGCCACTGGCTTTTGTAAATGACGTTGTGCTGGCACACAGCCACACTCACTCATTTCCATGCTGTCTACGGCTGCTTTCATGCTGGAAGGGCAGAGTGAGTAGCTGTTACAGCAATCACCGGCCCACAAAGCCAAAAATGTTTACTCTCTGGTCCTTTATACAAAGTTTGTTGCTCATTGTCCTAAAATATTATTTTCCCTGGCATCCCACTCTCCCCTGCTTATCACCTAAGAGATGACTTGCAAAGGCAGTGACTTTATTTCTTGAATATACTATTAATTTATTGATAGAATAAAATAATAGTTTGTTAACCACAAAGCTTTACCATGTATCTGCTTGCTCTGATTCTGTGTCAGCTACATATGTTGTAGTATTCACTGGGGCGCTTGGCATTAGTTTTTCATTGACTGACAAGCCTTGGGAAAGGCTTGGCCCCGGAGTCATTGTCTTCAATCCTGTCAATCACATAAGCGAAAGAAAGAATCACAACTGCTAGACATAAGATGGACATTTGGTCACTTAAAATTGTTCGACTGTGCCATGCTGAGGGAATTAACTAGGTAATATAGCACACGGTTGCCTCCAGTCAGAAGAGCCAAGAAAACCTTAATGAAATTGCCTATAGTAGCCTGTTGGCATCTGTGATGGGCTTATCTAAACCCTCATTTTAAAGCTACATCAAATCCTTCATGGTGAAGTACTATCAACTTAAATAAAAATAGAATCAACTTAAATTCTAATTCAAATTATGCTTTAAGTCAGCCGACCAAAAAATTGCATTTCTTCCCCACAGAAATTATAACTACCTTACCATCTACACAAATCAAAATCAGAGTTTCATTTTTAGAAGGAATACACTATTTGAAAAGAAGATATAAACAGTTTTTTTTATTTTTTTATTTTATTTATTTCCACCCCCAAAGCCCCAGTAGATAGTTGTATGTCATAGCTGCACATCCTTCCAGTTGCTGTATGTGGGATGAGGCCTCAGCATGGCCGGAGAAGCGGTGCGTCGGTGCGCGCCTGGGATCCAAACCCGGGCCGCCAGCAGCGGAGCATGCGCACTTAACCGCTAAGCCACGGGGCCGGCCCCTAAACAGTTTTAGACATAAATTTTTTGGCTACTCCAGAAAAACATAATGATTATTTCATCATTTTCTTTCCTAGGATAGCAATTTAATCCAAGTGCCCCTCTTCTGGCACCCTTTTCTTGAACCTCCTGCACTGAATTAAGTGCCCCTCCTTGCAGCTCCCACACCCCTGCTTACATCACTCTATAAACTTTAACACACTATCACTAGTTGTGTGACCTGAGTTAAGTTACTTAACCTCTCTATGCCTTAGTTTCCTCATCTATAAAATGAGGATAATTACAAAACTTTCCTCCAAAGTTCTGAAGGCAAAATGAATTGATATAAAGATAGCACTTAGAAAAATGCTTGGAACATAGTAAGCACTACACAAGTGCAGCTGTTATCTTGGAATCTCCAAGCTGTCACCTGGAATCTCCTCGACAATAGGGACCGAGTCTTGCTCATTTCTGTATCTTCAGTCCCTGGAGCAACGTGTGGTATATAGTGGAGAAAAATAAGTTAATGGAATTAAATTTTTAACTGAAAATTTTAAAAGTTGGCATTTACTAAGTATCTAAGCTAAATTATCACTCTGTTAGGCCCTCATGACATAGGATTTGTTTAATAAACGCTTATTACTGATTCTAAATTCAGGTATTTAAATGACTTCTGCCATTCTCCTTATACAACCATCTTAGAAGCTCACTGGCATTTCCTTAAACACTTATATCCCTAAAATTCATTTTAGCTTGCACAGAAGTTTGCAAAAGATAATAATTACAAATGCTTATATAATCACTAAAAGAAACATTTATAAATTGAATCTAATGACCCAGAATAACTGATGTTTGTCAACAATAAGATTATTTACAATGTTCTCCTTGCTAAAAATATCATGAGGGCAGGGATTTGCTCTGATCTGCTCACTTTTTTATTCCAAATGTTTAGAATAATCACAGGTATATACCAAATATTCAATAAATACTTGTCGAATAAATAAATGAATGAATATGAATGGAAAGGACAAAAGAAAGGAGAAGAAAAAGGGAGGAAAAGAGGCACGCATTCACTCTGCTCCCCCAAAGCTGGTTGTGTTCTAAAATTGTTTTTAACTCAGATGTCTATGACTTAGAACCCACACATCTACCTATGAATATGGGCAAGAAGTAATACTATTAATTATAATGTAGATTTTTACCAATTCTTTATGACCTCATTTCCTTATGAAATGATACAACAGAAAAGATACTGGTCTAGTAGTCAGAAAACCTAAATTTTAGGATTGGCTGGTCCATGAAGTATTTACGGGACCTGAACTTTTCTCAGCCTTGAGATCTCTTACTTTTTAACAGAAAGACAGATTAGATGATCTCTAAGCTCTTTCCGCCATAAATACACTTCCAACAGTGGATCATAAAATTTTGTTGCTCCACACTGACAAAGAGAATCTTGTGTACCAACAACTCAGTTTGATTAAGCAAACAGTCATACTACAAACAAGTACTGTGCTTAGTGCTGCTAGGGAATCCAAAATTAATAAGACCTTACAACCAATCTAGAGGTTGAAAGAGGCATGGAAACAACTGGTTATATTTCCAAGTAGGAAGAAACTCTAACTGGAATGCAAAAAAATAAAAAAACCCCAAAAAACTAAAAAACAATACTGGGGTATAGAAAACAGAATAATCCTGACTTGGAGGAGAGTTATGGGAGAAAGAACAACTTAGAAAAACTTCATGAAGGAGGTGAGCATTTGTGAAATGAGTCCGATTTTTGAATAGTGCTGGCTTTCTAGGAACAGGGATCATGAAGAACAAGGTCAAGGAGTGTGGGAACTATAAATAATATGCCACATATATTCTTTAGGGAGATGTATAAAAAAGATGCGGATGGGGAGATGGGCTGCAGCTAAACTGTTGAGGGCTTGGAAGTCTAGAAGTCTAGACAAAGGGCTTACGGATTTATTCTATAGATAATGAGAGCTAGTAAAACTTTTTAAGAAAAGGGAAAGTGAGTCCAGTGGCAAAGTGAAATATTAACTGTAGAGATGAATATGGAGGCAAGACCGTTACTGGGCGCAATTATAACAGTGCTCAGGAAAGAAAGACATGGAGGGTTCAAATAGGACAGTGGCTATGAGAAGGGATGGTGGCAGACCTCTTGAGCAAAAGCCACAGAGGGAGAATTCCAGGTCTGGTAAGAATAAAAAATGACTGAAGTGTGCACTCTGAGTGCCAGCTCCACATATATAAAAGAAGGCTCCTCTCTAGTTCAGTCTTTCCCTAGATATTCTAACTCAGTGGTTCTTGGGGTTTGTATGAGAAACATGAGCTTAAAACTAATCAAAACAAACCAAAAAAAAACCCCAAAAAACAAAAACCAGATGGCTTGGCCGCATCCCAGAATATTCTGAATTACAGAGAACATGAATTTGCCTTAAAAAATGTTTCTGAAGCATATATATAATTGAGAACTAGTTTTCTAAAACAGAAACAAAGGACAATTGTCCCAAATCGGGGCTAGGACAAGGGGAGCTACTCTCTTAGATCCAACAATTCTATTTGTTTTTATACACTTTTTGTCCTATTGTTAAAGTCTGAAATTACTAACAGGTGTTTTTTTTTCTGTAACAGAACAGAAATCCACTGTCAACAAAATAATATCTATAGCAGATGCTATTTCTAAAGGTTGTGCAGATTTCTAACAGACAGCTTCTCTAAGAATATGGCTCTCTTTTGGTATCCACATTAAAGGAGTTCTCTAAGAAAGGCTGAAGAGTTGGTCTTTAGCTTCTGACTCTAAGGATGAATTCTAGGAATGTTAGTCATGAATTTTTGGGAAGTATTCATCATATCACAATTCCACCAAAACAAGTTATTTGAACATACTGGAAACTTCACAAGTACTTAAAACTGTATTGGAAGGTTATCTACGTACAGACAGAAACACACCTAGTATACTCAGTGGGAAAGGGTAGAGCTATCAGATGAATAAACATTCTTATCCAAATAATAAAATACTAACCTGTCAAATTTTTTATCAGACATCTATCCTTTTACATCTGCTCCCAGTTACCTCTACAGCATCATGTCTCAAAACTTTACACATCAAAATATATGCCACCTGCACTGCAGCATAATATCATAATAGCTTTGACTTAAGAGTCAGTTTGAATCAAATTATTTGCTATGTGACCTTTGGCTAATTTCTTACCCTCTCTGTATGTCAGTTCCCTCATCTATAAAATGCAGATGATGTCATTTATCTTAAAAGGATTGTTTTGCAGATTAAATTTTGATGACATATGTAAAGTCTCTAGAAACTCAAGAAACGGCAGTTATTACTAGTAATCATTGTTACTAATGACCTACACACCTAATCAGTTGCTGGTTATTAGGCTCTAATGGCTCACTCCTTCCAAAATCTAGCTGAGCACTTCCCTAATTTGTCTAAACCAGGGTTGCAGAGTATAGCTACTCAAGAGGTACACTGTCCAACTCCATAGATGCCATTCAGTGGGCCACAATGTGAATGATACCTCCTGGAGTGTACAATGAGGTAGTGCTGTTCTAACTTGCCTCTTTTAGCTAAAGTCCAATAACTGCTGACAAGTAACTAAAGAGAGAACACAGGAGGCAAATAAATGTACACAGGAGTACAGAATGGATGCAAACAAGAGAAAAGTTACTAGAGAGAATAAATGTAAAAATATCTAAGGTAAAAAAGCAAAAAGCATAAATGAATCACATCTTCATGATGGCAAGATCAACTCATTTTCAAGAAACGTAGGGGAAAATAACAAGGGGTAATAGGTGCTGCCTCTGAGTACACTGGCTTTGTGACAGTCAACACTGAGATGACTATAACATACATTCTTCATCCCAGTAAATGACACCACCACTCAACTAGTTACTCATGCCAAAAAACTAGGAGTTGTTTCTAATTCCTCCAAAGACAAGTTCTGCTGGGGCTAGTTCCAAAATATATCCTGAATCTGTTCATTTTTATTCATCTCCATCCACTATTACCATTCTGGTCCAAGGCACTAGGCTGTCTCTCACCTGGACCTCTATTAATAGCTTTCTACTCATATCCCGACTTCCATTTTGGACTCTGGAATCCATTCTCCACAGACGCCATTGTGACCTGTTCCTTCTACCTGGAATTCTGCTACCCAGATCCTCCCATGGCTGCCTTATCTTGTCATTCAGGACACACGAGGCCAAATATAACATCCTCAGTGAGACCTTCCCCGACCACCAATTTAAAATAGCCTGCTCTGTCACTATCACATCACCTGTTTTAGCTTTCTCTTTGTACTTGTACTCACAGAACTTATCAGATGTACTTATTTGGCTGTTAACTGTCTGAATCCTGACATTTAGAATATAAAGGTCACAATAATAGGTATCTTGCTTACTTTATTCACCACTGTATCTTCCGCACTTAGTGCCCAGTACGTGGCAGCTACAAATATTTATCAAATGAATAAATGAATGAATGGATAAATAGATGAGTTTTAAAACATGGTGAAAATGGTCACCCCTGGTAAGTATAGAGTAATGTGCATACAGCCTATTATCAATTTACATAACAAATAAAGTTGCTAAAGAATCAATAAAATAATGCTTTAATTACCTGTACTGGGCTGGTCCCGAGGATCACAATAATTCTCTGTAGTCATGAAAATAACTGCCAATCCAATTTCTGCTTCGGGAATAGGTCTGAGACCCTGCCTATTAGAATAAAGTAGTTTAAGTATGATATTATATTAAAACTAACAAATTTTATTAAGATGATGTCAAGGTGAATCTATCTTTTTTATTTCCCCTAAAGAGATATCACCATTTTACAGGATGGAGAGAATTTCAAATAGAGCACTAGCTTACTCACTGGAGCACTGTTACATTGAGCAAGACCACCACGTTGTAGCAACTCAGTGATTTCATTTGTAAAATAAAAGTCTAGAGTAAAGGATATGGATCCCTCCAGTTCTAAAAGTCTACAATTTTCAGAATAAGAGGAAAACAGTAATACCCAAATGAAGCAATCAAATAGATTTTTATAAGCAAATCTATGATTATTAGAATCCTAAGATAAAACTTAAAAGAGAGAAGAGGGAAAAAGGGGAAGAAGAGAGAAAAGTACCAAGAACTATATATAAGCTATACCTTAATTTTAAGTTTAATAAATCAAATCATTTTACCCGATTTACATCTATTAAGGAACCTTCTTATTAAAGGAATCTATGGTAAACCTATCTTCTGTTATTTTATAATATGAATAATGACTAATTTTATAAACAAAGGTAATTAATTCAATTTAATAATAATGCTATACAGAAACTATATCTCAAATTTTAAGAGCTACAAAACTCCATTTAATACTTATTCTAAACATATTTTAAGAGGTTGTAGTAGTCTAAAAGGCCTTTTCAAACGCTTAACGTTTGTTTTTTGTATGTATTGGGTTAACTTAAATAAAGCTCAACTATATGTATATTATAATAATATTATGCTAAAAAAGATTTTAAAAAGTATGATAATTGGGGCCGGCCCCGTGGCTTGGTGGTTGGGTGCGCGGGCTCCGCTACTGGCGGCCCGGGTTCGGATCCCGGACGCGCACCCATACACTGCTTGTCCGGCCATGCTGAGGCCACGTCCCACATACAGCAACTAGAAGGATGTTGAACTATGACATACAACTATCTACTGGGGCTTTGGGGAGAAAAAGGGGAAAAAAAAAAGAAGGATTGGAAATAGATGTTAGCTCAGGGCAGGTCTTTCTCAGCAAAAAGAGGAGGACTGGCATGCATGTTAGCTCAGGGTTGATCTTCCTGACAAAAAAAGAAAAAAAGTATTATAATCAAGTGATCACATATACCTACTTATAATCCAGTATAATGCAGGCAATTCAAAATTGATATTTTGTTACTCTACTACTGTTTTTGAAACTATAAATACATTATACTATGAAAACTAGTTATAAAGATGAGCTATATAAAATAAAAACATTTTAAAAACATTTTAAATACATATCCCAATTGGAGAGAGAGAGAGAGAGACAGAGAGACAGAGAGCGAGAGACAGAGAGACACAGAGAGAGACAGAGAGACAGAGACAAAGAGACAGAGACAGAGAGACAGAGAGAGAGGCATCAAAGGCATAGGATCAAAAAGGAGGATAAAAAGGAGAGAAACGTTACTATTTACAGATGATATGATTTATACAAAAAAAGACTATAAATTAGAAATAAAAGGTGAGTCTAGCAAAGTGGCAGGATGTCAGCTGAGTTTGTATATATTGACAGTAAACAAGTAGAAAATGTAATTAAAGAGACAATATCATGTTTATATTATGCCTATCAGAGATATAATATCTACCAGAGAATATGTAGTAACCTAGAAATAAATCTAATAAAAGGTATTCAAGATCTCTACACAGAAATTATAAAAACTGTTACTTTTCCCCAAATTGATTTGTGGATTCAATGGATTTCTTAATCAAAATCCCAACAAGGTTTTTGAAAAGATGATTCCAAAATGTATATGGGGAAATAGTCAATAGCCAGGATACTTCTGAAGAAGAGCAGAAAGAAGAGATTTGTCCGATTAGATATAAGGACTTAATTCAAGTTATAGTAATTAAGACAAAGTGGTAAATGTGGTATTGGTACAAGGATAGACATATTGATCAATGCAACAGAATAAAGCCAAAAACATTCCCATGCATGTATGGAACAGAATCAATTCTAGATACATTAAAAACAAATTTCAAAAATAAATATCAAAATACTAGTAAAAAGTAAAAAATATGGGTGACTATCTTTTTGATCTATGAATAGAAAAAGATTTCTTAAACAAAGTATAAAGAGCACTATGAAAGAAAAAACTGTTAGTTTTTAGCATATTAAAATTAAGGTTTGTTTTTTTTTTGGTGAGGAAGATCAGCCCTGAGCTAACGTCTGCTGCCAATCCTCTTTTTGCTGAGGAAGACTGGCCCTGGGCTAACATCCATGCCCATGTTCTTCTACTTTATATGTGGAGCACCTGCCACAGCACTGCCCAATAAGCGGTGCATAGGTCTGCACCCAGGACCCAAACCTGTGAACCCTGGGCCGCCGAAGAGGAGCTCATGAACTTAACCACTACACCACTGGGCCGGCCCTTAAAAATAAGGGTTTTCACTCATCAATACAGTAAAAAGATAAGTTACAAAGTGGCAACAGATTCTACAATACATATAAGTGAGAAAAGGATTAATATCAAGAATATATAAAGAACACCTAAAAATCAAAAAGAGGAGCACACAAATATGCAATTAACATACAATCCAGGAATTGCACTCTTGAGCATTTATTTCAGAGACATAAAAACTTATGTTCACATAGAAACTTGTACATGAATGTTTATAGCAGCTTTATTTGTAATAAAAACTGGAAAAATGCACATGTCTTTCAATAGGCGAATGACTCAACAAACTGTAGTATATCCATACCATGGAATACTACCCAGCAATAAAAAATGATGAACTACTGACACACACAACTTAGATGACACACACAACTTAGATGAATCTCCAAGGAATTATGCTGAGTGAAAAAGCCAACCCTAAAAGGTTACATGCTGTATGATTTCATTTATATAACATTTTTTTAAATGATAAAATTTTAGAAATGGAGAACAAATTAGTGGTTGCCAGGGACAGAGAGGGGGAAGTGGGGAGGTGGGTGTAGTTATAAAATAACAACATGAAGGATCCTTGTGGTGATGGAACTGCTCTGTGTCCTGACCATGGGCAATACATGAACCCAAACGTGTGATAAAATTGTACAGAACCAAATACACACACACACACACACACACACACACACACAAGATAGCACATACAACTGGGGAAATCTGTATTAAAAAAAAAGAAGAGCACCATTATCCCAATAGAAAACTGGGCAAGAGACACGAACAGGTCTTTCACAAAAGAGGAAAAATGTCTAATAAACGTTTGAAGAAATGTTAAGCATCACTGGTGATCAGGGAAATACAAATCAAAATCGTGAGATATGATTATATATCCAGTCAGTCGGCAAAAATGATAAAGTGTTGAAAACGACATGCATCTATTTGATCTCTTATGTAAGGTGAGTGGGAATATAAAGTGGAAAGCAGTTTGATACTACCTCCTAAAGCTGAGCGTTCACATAACCTGTGATTCAGCAGGTCTAACTCTAGCAATATACCCCAAAGAAAATCCTGCACAAGTACCAACAGGAAACATACAAAAATGATCTCAGTGGCAGTGTTTCAATAATAAAAATCTGGAAACAAGATTTTTTTCAATGGGGAGTGAATGAACGAACTGTGGTATATTCACACAATAAAACATTTTACCATCAAAACAAATAAATTACAGCAACATGCAACAAAAACAGATAAATTCATATCAGCAATAAAACATTGAGAAAAATCTCCAAAGATTACATGTATCATGCTGACCATGTTATAAAGTTAAATCAACTAAAAAATACACACATACACACACACACAAACACACAAACACATTTTAGGAATACATGAAGCAACAAAACTATATATATATAAAAGAAAGCAAGTAAATGATGAACACAGGATTCAGGATGACAGTTATCCCACGTATGGGGAAACGGGGCTGGGGGTACAATATAGAGAGATGTAGGTTATTTTTAAGGCTCTAACTTGTATTTTGAGGGGACAGATTCTCAGACACATTACAGAATTAAAAAGAACTAACTAAACAATTAGTGAACACAATGAATGTGTATTATTTATGGTTCAGGGTTGTACTGTTCCCCTAGACTTCTAATCTTCTTCAGGAGATATTTAATTTTAACTACTGCTATCCTGTACCCGCTTCTGACACCTAATCAATACAGCCACGGCACTAACCAACCCCAATGCTGCCCTGTTTGACATTCAGTCAATAGCTGGTTTTACTGGCCACTTGCTTGATATAAACCGCACCTTCAATGGCTCTCAATAGCTTGGACTAAGTGGACAGTTATTTTATGTGACAGTCTTTCTCAAACTATAAAATTTTCCTCCCTCCAAAACCAAATTGTAACAAGGTCTAAAGACCACAGAACAAAATGTCCTCTCATAATCAAGGCACCAGCCTCTGAGCAACCTTGCACTCTAGCTACTTTCTTACTCGGGATCTCCGTGTATGAAAAGCAGTGAGCTGTAATGGTGAAGAGCATGGACTCTGGAGCCAAACCGCCGGGTTCACGTCCTGGCTCCTCTGCTCACTCCTGTGTTCTACTACAACGCCCTTTTGCCCAATCTGCACAGTGGGGACCTTAACAGTAAAGAATACACAGGGTTGTGTGAGGATTAAATGTCTTTACATATGTAAAACTCTTAGAAGAGGACCTGCTATATGGTATTACGTGAGTGTAGCTATTACCGCTGCTGTTCTGCCTGGCTCTCTGAAAGACTCGTCATAGGTAAAATGTTGCCTGAAAGAGGCCTTCTCTATTTAGAATCAAGTTCTCCCCTCTGCCCTGTTATTCTGCTTCCTTTATACACATTTGTAATGTCTTTCCCTCCAGAAGGAAGCTCCAATAGTGGCACGGACCATGGCTATCTTGTTCACCATTATATTCCCAGTGCCTAAAACATACTAGAACCACAGCAAATTCTGGTTGTAGTAATAAGACAGTTTTTGTTAAAGAGGTATTTTCTTTTTAATAACAGTTACTACATCTCCCTTTAAGTAAAATATTTATGGGACAGATGACTGAAATTTTACTTTTTACTCCAGCAAAGAAGTAAAGAAAAAAAAAGCAATCTCTCTGGTTAGGATTCCTGGAACAGGAGAAATGAATATTGCAGGGAGCTAGCTATAGACTTTCTAGGTATAGAAATACCCTAGGCCCTCACTGCTTTGTGCTAGGTCAAAGAAATTTAGTCAAAAGACTGCCAAGCTTGATATTTTTGCAATATTTTTTGGCTTCAACATTGCTAAGATTATTAATACCAATAAAGAGTCTAAGAAAAAAACCCTTGATTTAGCTCTTTCACACTCTCCCTCCCCACTACAAACACTATTCTAAGATATCTGATATTTTTTCCTACTTTCTCAGAACAGCCAATATAAGACAGGTAAATATTTTTACATGCATTTTTAGTGGGTAATAATCATCAAAAGACAAATACTGATTTCAGCTCTAGGCAATTTCAGAAAAAATTTTACATTTGAGTTTTCACTTTTTCAACTGTTACATATTCTACAGAAAAATTTAAATACTACTTTATTAATTTAGAGATAAATCTACAAATTCCATTAAAGTAACAAAAAAGCAGAAAATAAATATTGAGATAAAACTGTCACGAATAAAGATATTTTATTCCTAACATACTAAGTCACAATAAATTTTCAAGTACCACACGTAATAAAATCTTTATAATAATTCTTGTATATACTTTTACATTACTATGTGGAGTACAATAAAAGTTACAAATAAAATCACCTACTTGCATATTTTTTTACTAATAAAGAATAATTCTGTACCTTTGGAGCATACCCATAATTGAATGAATCCATTTTTTCTGAGAGTCAGGAATTAAGGTCTGTGAATTCGTTATTCCTACATCAATAACACAATTTCCAGGAGCTGAAAAGAAACTATCTTCTTCTTCATTTTCTTCTGTTATCAACCTAGCCTCTCCCCCTCCAAAAATAACTGCTGAACTTAATTTTTTATGCTAAAAATGGAAAGAAAAAGAAATAAAAGAGCCACAATTAATTTCTTGAGTACATTTTTTAAATTGTAAGAATCTTATTTGGGAAGTAACATGAAGGTAGAATTGGTTCTACTTCTTGAGAGGACAACCTGAGCTTCCACCCTGAGAAAAGGCCCGGTTCACCAGGAATCTCTGCAGCCCTGGAATCGCAACACTGCTGCCCCTCACTACACAGGACTGTAACTGTGGGCGTACTCGCATGATGTTTCCATCTACAACATTAACTCCTGGAACCTTCATTTCAGCACACAGAAGACATTCAACAGCTGTTTACTGACTAAACAAGTCAGGACTTAAAGTTTTCTGTCCCCTTCCCCTCCCCCCCGCCACTTAACATATTTATACAAACAATTAATAGGCCAATTAACAAACAGTAAGAAACATCATAATCATATACATGACCACTGGGCAGTTTCTGATGCCTCGGGAGTTGTTTATTCCCCATCACACGTCTACACAAAATCTCAAAAGGAAATGCATTAACAACTATTGATAACAGAAATAATTTATCCTAGCTTATAATGCTTTCTTTAGGAAAATTTATTTTATAACATTACCTGTTTGGCATTTAGAAATACAAATGTTTTCCCTTTGAAGATTTGTTTTCTTTCCTGTCGTCCTGACAGATCAATATTTTTACTTCCAATAGCTGGTTCATCAACAGGAGGGTAAAAACTGTACAAAAAAAAAATCAAAGTATATTCTATTTATATTCTACTCTGTATGTATACTATTAAATTTATAAATGGACTGGCTATCTAGACACTAGAGAGGCTTAATTTCCATAATACAATTAAATTATTAAAAAAAAGTTTTATCTGGGACAAAATGAAAAAAGCATCTAAATGCTTTACTAGACAAGTGCCACACAGAACAGCAAACTGTTCTTTATTTTTTGAAAATATATAATCCAAGCAATTATACCAATACACAATTAAATATTTATGAATCAAACAAGTTATGTGAATTACAGAAGGTTGAAAGAGACACTGCCCATAAAGATCAAATTTTATCAGCCTCTTGTGTTTGCTTAGGAACCAATGTGTATTAATAATGTTCATATTCCAATTCTATGAACTACTACTGTAAGTGTTTTGTCATAGATCTTTTTGGAGAAGTTCAGGAAATTTTAAAACTTACATTATTTTTGTCAGTTTAAATAAAATTTCCAAAGTGAGATTTAAAAACATATCTTTCAGCTCCTTAATATAATGCTATAAAAACATCTTACTCATCCATGGAAACGAGGGAGAAAAAAAAATTGAGAAGAAAATCAACAGCTAATTCTTCAGCCTCTCATCAGTCCATAGTTTCAACTTTCTATATCACCAGATCTTTTGCTACAGCTATTCATAACTGACCAGCCCTTCAGCTTATCTCTAACTTCTAGTAAAAATTACTAACATTCATGGATAGGAAGACTCAAGATGTCAACATGTCAGTTCTTTCCAACTCGATCTATTAAATGCAATTTCAATACAACTCCTAGCAAGTTATTTTGTGGGTACTGACAAACTGATTCTAAAGTTTCGATGGAGAGGCAAAAGACCCAGAATAGCCAACACAACATTGAAGGAGAAGAACCAAGTTGGAGTACTGGCACTACCTGAATTCAAGATGTATTATAAAGCTACAGTAATCAAGAATGTGGGAGCCAGCCTGATGCCCTAGTGGTTCAAGTTCTGTGCTTTCTGCTTTGGCGGCCTGGGTTTGTTTCCCAGTCATGGAAACAAACCACCCGTCTGTCAGCTGCCATGCTGTGGCAGTGGCTCACATAGAAGAACTAGAAGGACTTACAACTAGGATATACAACCATGCTTGGGGCTTTGGGGAGAAGAAAAACAAAAAAAGGGGGAGAAAAGATTGGCAACAGCCATTAGCTCAAGGCAAATCCTTCCCTGCAAAAAAAAAAAAAAAAAGTGTGGTATTGGCAAAAAAATAGACATATACATCAGTGGAAGAAAACAGAGAGCCCAGAAATAGACTCACATAAATACAGTCAACTGATCTTTGACAAAGGAGCCAAGGCAATATAATGGAACTCAGACAGTCTTTTCAACACATGGTGCTGGAACAACTGGAAATCCACTTCCAAAAAAATGAATCTAGACTCAGACCTCACACCCTTCAGAAAAATTAACTCAAAATGGATCATAGACCTAAATGTAAAACACAAAACTATAAAACTCCTAGAAGATAATGTACGAGAAAATCTAGATGACCTTGGGCATGGAGATGACTTTTTAGATACAACATCAAAGGCATGATCCTTGAAACAAATAAATGATAAGCTGGACTTCATTAAAATTAAAAACTTCTGCTCTGTGAAAGATAATGTCAAGAGAATGAGAAGACAAACCACAGACTGGGAGAAAATATTTGTAAAAGACACATCTGATAAAGGACTGTTATCCAAAATATACAAAGAACTCTTAAAACTCAACAATAAAACAAACAACCCAATTAAAAAATATACCAAAGATTTTAGATACCTCACCAAAGAAATATACAGACAGCAAATAAGCACATGAAAAGATTCTCAACACCATATGTCATCAGGAAAATGCAAATTAAAACAAGACACCACTATATACCTATCACAACAGCCAAAATCTAGAACACTGACAACACCGAATGTTGGTGAGGATGTGGAGCAACAGGAACTATTATTCATTGCTGATGGGAATGCAGAATGGTACAGCCACTTTGGAAGAGAGTCTGGCACTTTCTCATGAAACTAAATACATTCTTACCATATGATCCAGCAACAGTGCTCCTTGGTATTTGCCCAAAGGAGCTGAAAACTTACATCCACACAAAAACCTGCACACGGATGTGAACAGCAGCTTTATTCATAATTGCCATAACTTGGAAGCAACCAAGATGTCCTTCAGTAGTTGAATGAAAAAATAAACTGTGGTACATCTAGACAGTGGAATATTATACAGTGCTAAAAAGAAATGAGCTATCAAGCCATGAAAATACATGGAGGAAACTTAAGTGCATATTACTAAGTGAAAGAAGCCATTTTGAAAAGGCTACATACCATACTATTCCCACCATAAGACATTCTGGAAAAGGCAAAACTATGGAGCCAGTAAAAGATTGGTGGTTGCTGGGGGCTGGTGAAGTGAGAGGGATGAATAGGCAGAGTACGGAGAGTTTTTAGGGCAGTGAAAATACTCCATATGATACCATAATGATGGATACATGTCATTATACATTTGTCCAAACTCATAGAATGTGCAACACCAAGAGTGAACCCTAATGTAAACTATGGACTTTGGGTGACTATGATGTGTCAATGTAGGCTCATCGACTGTAACAAATGTGCCACTTTGGTGGGGGATATCAACCATGGCGGAGGTTATGCACGTGCAGGAACAGAAGGTATATAGAACACCTGCACCTTCCTTTCAATTTTGCTGTGAACCTGAAACTGCTCTAAAAAATAAAGTCTTAAAATTTTTTTTTTTTAAATTACTAAACCATCATGGTGATGATGAGAGGACAATGCAGGATGAGGGGAAATTCAGAACCTGGACAATCAGTCACTATATAGTCAAGAGTTAACTATGCGCAGAGAGCAACATCCAACGTGGTAAAAATGTTTTAGTCATGAGAGTCACCATCCAGCATTTTAGAACTAATTTCCTTACATTTTTCCTCCCCAGATTTCTCCTTGGCAACATACATATTTCATAAAGTAAGCTGAGTCATGATTAAACATATGTTTATGATGTTAATTTTTAAAAATTATTATTAAATTAAAAAATTTTATATTAATTTTTAAAAATTTTGATAACTGATTAAACCACATATGCATGTTTTTTTGTGTGTGAGGAAGATTGGCCCTGAGCTAATATCTGCCAATCCTCATCTTTTTTTTTTTTTTTTGCTGAGGAAGACTGGCCCTGGGCTAACATCCATGCCCATCTTCCTCTACTTTATATGGGAGGCTGCCACAGCATGACTTGACAAGTGGTGCGTCGGTACGCGCCCGGGATCCGAACCGGCGAACCCAAGGCTACCGCAGTGGAGTGTGTGCACTTAACCGCCTGCACCACCGGGCTGGCCCCCAAATGCATGTGTTTTAATCTGTTACAATGGATGTTCTAAATCTATTCTAAAGTAGTGATCCCTAGAACCTGCAATTCAAATGAGTGACTTATCTGCAAGCAAGAGCACACTTAGTCGGCAGGATGAAATGCAACCTGCTGTGTTATTCTGGTTTTCTAAATAACTGAATTTAAAATTTCATTTACTCTTTTAAAGATACACAAAGAATGGTGGAAACTACTTTATTAAAATTAAATCCATAATAATAAAATAGTGCTAGAAAATTAGTAGACATTCTAATTCACAGATAAATTTTTTTTTTTTTGGTGAGGATTGGCCCTGAGCTAACATCTGCCAATCCTCTTCTTTTTTTTTTTTTCTGCTGAGGAAGACTGGCCCTGGGCTAACATCCAAGCCCATCTTCCTCCACTTTATATGGGACGCCGCCACAGCATGACTTGACAAGTGGTGCGTCGGTGCGTGCCCGGGATCTGAACCGGCGAACCCCAGGCCGCCGCAGCAGAGCGCGTGCACTTAACCACTTGCGCCACCGGGCCAGCCCCCACAGATAAATTCTTAGTATCTCTTCAAATGCATTTCATCTTTTCTCCCTTTTAACAAAAATTCTCCCATATCTTACACTTCTTTTAGGGTTAAAGGCAACTAACACTTCATTTATATACGAATGGCTAGTTTATGAATTAGTCTACATAGTTATGTAACACTAGATTACAGAGCCAGTCTCAGACCAAAGTGGTATGCAAGTGCTTAACACATACATATGACTGAGTAGATGTGAGATTCTTACTACTTTCCAATGACACTAAAATATGATTTTCAAATTATCTACAGCTTTGCGTTACTCACATTGTCATTCTCGATTTTGCCACAGACGAGTCTACTGTACCCAGAGAGCAATTAACTGTAGTTTAGTTTAATGAAGACTGAACATCTGTTATATCCTGAGCCAGGTTACTTAAGATATGAGTATGATATTCCCTTAGCTCTTCTTAACGGCACTACTGGAGTTCTAACTTGTATTTGTGTGCTTCTCCTCCACTAAGCACCATGAAGGCAGAAACTGTAATGCTTTTTGGCTCACCCTTGTATCCTCAGGTCTATCTTGCCTGGTTCATGGTGGGCATTCGATAAATACTGGACAATAAATAAACTGATAGTACAAAATATAAATAAAAATTTCACCTAATAAATTAAAATTAGACAAAAAGGATAAACATCTCTCAACTCCCTCACTGTAGATTTGAGTATTAAAATTCTGGGATTGGAAAAATGTACTTTGGTTTTCTTTTAAAAACGCTGGTAAATCTGAGGCCCAATACTCAGTAAGACTGATCCTGAAAAAAAATACATTACTATATTATCAAGAATCCAACCAGGGGCCAGCCCGGTGGCATAGTGGTTAAGTTTGCGTGCTCCACTTCAGTGGCCTGGGGTTCACAGGTTCGGATCCCAGGCACGGACCTACACACTCTCATCAAGCCATGCTGCGGCGGTGTCCCATATAAAGTAGAGGTAGATGGGTATGGATGTTAGCCCAGGACTAATCTTCCTTAGCAAAAAAAAGAGGAAGATTGGCAACAGATGTTAGCTCAGGGCTAATCTTCCTCAAAAAAAAAAAGAAAAAGAATCTAACCAAATGTTAGAGTTGTGTATAGACACGTCTATAGATATATGCATATATATGATATATACAGATGATTGATAATACAGTGATAGATAATAGACTATGTTCTGGAACTTCACATACCTAGACAAGCCTTTTTCTTATTAACTGTAAGGATGAGAATAAGAAAGAAGAGACTAGTGATAAATATGAAGAAAACATCATTAAAAATCAATTATTTCTGAAGCATTACATTCTGAAAGTTTTAAAGCATTTCTGAGACTCTAGTGATTTGATAGCTGGTAAGAAAACGGGAAATCAGTAAATGAACTTTGGCAAAGACCTACGTTAGAGGCACGTTGCCTAAACACAAGGCTACCACAAATATAAAGTGATCTCCAATTTCCATAATAAAAAAATTAAAACAAGACATTTTTTGGCACACTTATACAGAAACTTCAAGAGTACAAATAAAATAATTATTTTTATTATGTAGTAAGTGGTATATATTATTCACAAAATCTATAAAATATTAATCTAGAAATATCAACTTTTTCCTATTTGTTTTATGGCTTTTAAATTCTTTATATGATCTTCAACAAATTTCATCTAACTCAGAGCACATTATCTTCCATTCTGTCCCAAGATTTTCCAAATACAGAATTTTTCTGAATTCGTGTATAATTCTGGCCCTGGAAACTGTATTCCAAGACACAACATTTATTTGCCCAACATCTGGACAGCTGTTTATTTCATTAGTCCTGTAGGCATATGTTCATGATTTCTAAAACTACTTACTAGACTACGTTTTTTTGGTGATCTCTAAAAGGCTTGAATTATACTGACATCCACAAATTGTAAATGTGAGGTTATATCTCCAGGAAAAGATTTCTAGTATGAGTTAAATTTCTCTGTCTTGAATTTTAATTGATTACATAAGGTCAACTCCATAAGCATCCTAAACGTTCATTTACTGTGACTCTTTCAGGCTAATGTGTCCTTTGGGCCTGAGATTTGAACATAAGCTAAATAAGTTACCCTGTTCCTGTTTCATGGATGCTGGCAGAAGACACAAGACTCCTGGGTCAGAGACAAAGCAAGAATCAAGTCTCGGTATGTTTAAAGCAGGTCTCCTCCCCAGTCAAGTCTCACAGAAGATACATACAGTGGGTTGTGTTACTCTGAACTTGGGAATCCACCAGTTTTATAACAAGCTATAAGCAGGCCTGCTCTTTGTCCTGGGAGGAGGATATTACCTCATCCCTCAAGGTTTCTCCCTGCAACCATAATTCTGAGAAATGGCCTGGGTATAGGGCAGTAAGGGCCTTGCATTCTTGGCATATCCAGAAAGTTTGTATGAATGCAAGGACTTTCTCTCCCAACAATGTTTTCCCAAAACAGTGTTTGTTGTTTGAAATAAAGTAATTGAGACAGCACTCCACAATACGAGAGACTTTGTAAAAATTCAAATAAAAAGTAATTCCCCCTCTTTTCTAAGGGATCATTCCCTTACATTCAGACATATACAACATTTTAATGAACTTCCTTTATTAAGAGTACAGATTATCAAAATTAAATACTCCTCTTAAACGGAGTCTTCTAAAAATGACTTCATCTACATTGGTATTTTGGTGACAGTATAGGAAAATGAAATACCACAAACCATGTCAGGTAATGAAGCTTAAACTTTTGTCTTACTCTGTCTCTTGATAACAGTGCAGAGATGTAGACATAACCGCACTTAAAAGGACTACTCTTCTTGTTAGGTAAAATATGACAGTGTGCCTCCTAACTTAAATTCAGGACTAGCGACAATGCTTGTACAGAACTAAAAGAAGAGGTAGTTATGTAATAAAAGAGCCACCACAACGTATTTCATATCCTTTTTGTAACCCATCCCACTACTATTTAATATTTTAAATTTAATCCTTTTTCTATTTAATAGTTGAGCAGGTAGTCAAATCTTCAACAAGCATATCAAAATGAATCCCAACAGGTATAGCAATCTATTAAGGTAAAAAACTACATATTTTAAAACAATATTAAAAATTTGAGGGGCCAGCCCCATGGCCTAGTGGTTAAGTTCAGTGTGCTCTGCTTTAGCGGCCCAGGTTCGGTTCCTGGGCACAGACCGACACCACTCATCGGAGGCCAAGCTGTGGCGGCAACCCACATACAAAATAGAGGCAGACTGGCACAGATGTTAGCTCAGGGCGACTCTTCCTCAGCAAAAAAAAAAAAAAAAAAAAAAAATTACAGTCGCCATCATCAAACATGGGCTAATGTAATTATCTTTCCTGGTTAACACTGAATTAGGAGTTATCGAACAATCTTATAGTAGAGACATTTTATGGTGGCCATCTGAGTTAATACAGTCACAAGTTGAAGCTAGAAAAAAATTATGCCGAACCTGAAGTCAAAAACAGACCCAGGTTAAAGACACCTGAGAATCTCAACAACTAGTAGGAATCAATGACTAATTCTGAAAACTACAAGACCATAAAACATATCATTAGTATTAAAACCTATCAGACCCTTCCACTCCCAAGTAGTCTAGAATTAACAATGGTTTATCCTCTGTAAAAAGGGTCATTATTTATGGGATTTATCAACTCCCTAAGAAGGTTCATAAATAGGCTTTGGGAGGAAATGTGCTTCTCTTGAAAGACTATGCAAGTTGGTTGTACGTAAGTGAAGTTTCTGGAGGAGAGACCAGTGCTTTCATGTTCTCATAGGGATCTAGGACTCAGAAGAGGTTAAGAATCATTTATTTTAAAATCTGAGGATCTCTTTCTAGAGTCCAAAAACATTACATTTTCTGTCAACCAGATTATAAAATACAAGAAACTTCCCAAATAAAAATTAAAAACAAAGAGAAAAATCTGATTTTCAGTTACTTTCAAAAGCAGATATGTATTACCAGGTATAAATAGTCCCTAAAAAACACCGGACTGGGGGGCCGGCCCCGTGGCTTAGCAGTTAAGTGCGCACACTCCGCTACTGGTGGCCCGGGTTCTGATCCTGGGAGTGCACCGACGCACTGCTTCTCCGGCCATGCTGAGGTGGCATCCCACATACAGCAACTGGCAGGATGTGCAACTATAACATACACCTATCTACTGGGGCTTTGGGGAGAAAAAGGGAAAAAAAAAAAAAAAAGGAGGAGGACTGGCAACAGATGTTAGCTCAGGGCTGGTCTTCCTCAGCAAAAAACGAGGAAGACTGGCATGGATATTAGCTCTTAGATTTTTTTAAACCTCCTCAAATATTCAAAGTTGTCCTATAGAGATAAGATGAGCTTATAAATAGACAGTCAATTCATTATGCCATACAGACTATAACCTACTGACATATATGCTAAGCAAGCATGCTCTTGTGCTAAGTTGACTAAAAACACCCACCATTTTATAGTCACCAGCATTTTTTTTTTTTTTTTATTGGTAAGGAATATCAGCCCTGAGCTAACATCCATGCCAATCCTTCTCTTTTTGCTGAGGAAGACCAGTCCTGAGCTAACATCTATTGCCAATCCTCCTCCTTTTTTTCCCCTTTTCTCCCCAAGTCCCCAGTAGACAGGTGTATGTCATAGTTGCACATCCCTCTAGTTGCTGTATGTGGGACGCTGCCTCAGCACAGCCGGAGAAGTGGTGCGTTAGCGCACGCCTGGCATCTGAACCCGGGCCACCAATAGCGGAGCATGTGCACTTAACCGCTAAGCCACAGGGCCGGCCCAGTCACCAGCATTTTAACCATGCAATCTGGGAAAAAAAAATCCAAACATCTTCCTCCTCAACTATAGTTGACTACTTCAAACATCACTAATACAATATATACAGTAGACAGATCCTTTAGTCTGGTCGTTCACAAATTTAGCTGAGCATCCAAAAAAATAAATAAATAAAGCTATTATGAACCTTCCCAGATACTGCAATTAGCAACATTTCTTTTAACAAGCACCTATCATGATGCCAGGCAATGTGCTCAGACTTTGTATATACTATTACTTAAAATAAGTAATACTTATGTTAATACTAATAATACTAAATACTTAAATACTCAGCAGGACAGGTATTAGTCTCATTTTTCAAAGGCGATAACTGACACTCAGAAGAAATGAGCTCCACTCCCAAGGCCACAGTCCTGTTAATATTCTGGCCCAGGACTTTGTGGTTCCAGAACAGGGCTGCTGCACCACACAATTCCAGGAGTCCCGTGTGCACGATGCTCGGCACTGGCACCTGTGCTGTACTGAGGGCACCTCTGTGCCATTTACTGTTCTTCAATTATTTTCTTTAAAATTGGCACATATGCGGGGCCAGCCCTGTGGCGTATTGGTTAAGTGCGTGTGCTCCACTTCTGCAGCCCGGGGTTTGCAGGTTCGGATCCTAGGCGCGCACTGACGCACCCCTTGTCGAGCCATGCTGTGGCGGTGTCCCATATAAAGTAGAGGAAGATGGGCACAAATGTTGGCCCAGGGCCAATCTTCCTCAGAAAAAGGAGGAAGATTGGCACCGGATGTTAGCTCAGGGCTGATCTTCCTCAAAAAAAAAAAAAAAAAAATGGCACCACATATGTAATATTTGTTTCACTAAGATAAGAAACAACCAACAAAGAATTTGGGAAGCTTACTGACATACTAACAAAAAAACGTCTTTAATAAAAGTGAACTATAACATTACATTAAAGAGGGAATTAACCTAAATAAAATCAGCGCTATCACAATATAGCACATATATTTTGTATGTCATATTTTATTATATTTAAAATACACAATATACCTTTCAATTTGTGGAGGCTGTTTCTTGGACTGAACTGCTTTAAGAAATTCAGTAAAATATTCTGGCTTTACAATCGGACGCCCACAAATGAGTGCACATATTGTCTAAAAAGAAGAAAACACATATGAATACATATACTGAAATTCCAGCTTTTTTAAAGAAAAGTTCTAAGTTATAGACTACAAAGGGGCTTTTCTATTCTGTTTTTCCTCTCATCCTTCTAAATTTATAAAGGAGCCACAATCTATAAAACAGAAGTCAGTATTTGGTCACTGCTTAGTTGTAGCATACAAATCCCTATATAATCACTGGATTACTAGAAGCACCAATTACAATATTAATTTAAAAATTGCTTTGTAAGGGGGGGTCAGACAATACAACATAAAATATAAGTCAATTTTAAAATATATTCCAATTTTAAAAACATTAAAATGTTAAAAAGTGTATCTTAGAATTGAGGAAATATAACATCTGCCCTAGAGAAGACAAGAGATAAACATGAGAGAGAAGATCTTTTCAGCCTAATTGCCTTTTTTTTTTTTTTTGTGAGAAAGATCAGCCCTGAGCTAACATCCATGCTAATCCTCCTCTTTTTGCTGAGGAAGACCGGCTCTGAGCTAACATCTATTGCCAATCCTCCTCCATTTTTTTCCCAAAGCCCCAGTAGATAGTTGTATGTCATAGTTGCACACCCTTCTAGCTGCTGTACGTGGGACACGGCCTCACGCATCGGTGCGTGCCCGGGATCCGAACCCGGGCCGCCAGTAGTGGAGCGCGCGCACTTAACTGCTAAGCCATGGGGCCGGCCCCTAATTGCCTTTCAAACAGATCATAAATATGGAAAAACTCTTTTCAAGAAGGTAAATAAAGGAATAACTGGGGTTGGGTAAAAGCTCAAAATAAGTATATAGAGGGGGTGAGAAACTTTAGCAAGTGACTTAAGCTATAAGCCTCAACTAAGATATATCCATAAAATTTGAGAAAGAATAGAAAATACCACCATCGGCAATAAAAATAAAGAAGATTCAGCATAATTCCAGGAAATAATCCAACCAAAAATTTCTAAGTATGCTTCTAATAACATATGGTACTACTTAAATATGAGCAAGCAATTTAGGGTGTCTCTCAGGAATGGAATTTGATACCAACCTCGAATGTGAACAAAATAACTGACTTCTTGCCTGCAGCAGTAATGTGCAATTTGACAATGGACTGAGTGTGCCCCAATACATGTGACACTGGGCAAAGGACTTAACTGTTCCACGCCTCAATTTCTTTTCCAGAAAATAAAAATTGAAGTGAATGCTCTTTAAGTTCCCTTTTGGTTCTAACATTCAATGATTTTAAAAACATAAACTAACCTGTATTTTTGGAAATTTACCAAAAAAATAATATAATGACAAGTTTTTCTTTTTTGGCACATGACTGGTCAGAAATATTGAAAAAGGAGGATGGCTCTGCAAGCCTTTGTTGGTGTATATCAGTACTCTCTAATATACTGGGCCATTAGCATCCCAGTCACTAGAATAGCGTGTATTCCACTCTGGTGAATGGATGCTAATTTCCAGGTCTGTCACAGACTCGGTAAACATCTCTCAAGACCATCTAACTGCCTCTGCTCTCATCTCATACCCACCAAGCGAGGGCATGATCACCTATTCCATTTTTCAGGGACTCTGATATGGGCAAGGGGTCCATGCTGGAGTCCACACACAAATCTTCTGGTCACTATAAAGGTGCATCCCTACTGTAAACTAACATGGACATTTTGATGTATGACTCTATTATCTGTGGGATTATTAGCATAAATTAGCACTCAGGAGGCTAATCACTGCTGAATTTATAGGTCAATTTCATAAATTTGCAAAGATGAAAAGATGCTTGATCACAGACAACCCCACGAAGATACAAGTCTAACTTGAGGTTCAATCTGAGCAGCAAGCCTTTCTTTATGACACGTTTTTAGCTATAATATACATATTCTAACTTAATTCATTAGCTATTAAAAGATTTTGTATCATCTAATAAAAGAATCTAAATATTTGTTGCTTTTCACTATAGATACTAACCTAAAAGAACCCCACATATCTATAGTCAACCCATTTAAAAGGAGACGAATCACCTCCCAATATCATTCTTCAATTAGCTTTGGATATAACCAAATCTGATGAAGATGCAAAATCTGAAAACATACCAAAACATATCCCTGTTTTAATGAATAGTCAGCATCTTCTAAAGGTACATATCTACATATCTCTTGATTGTGAAGATACATTATAATATTAAGCTGCAAAACTTAAAAAGTCTTTGTGATTAGAGCTTTAAGCCAAATACAAACTAAATAAGAGAGCATGAGATCATGAGATGATCTGGAGGAAGACAACTTGATATAAGAGACTAGAGATGCTAACTTTGAAGACTGGTAGCTGATCTCAGTCGCTCTGCTTTTAGACTGAAGACAAACTATGCACTGCAATAAACTTTTTGGTGAAAGGATAACATAAATCATTTTCCTAAATGCTATATCAAAATCTGAAATATAATTTTATGTGCTTTTGCTTGTCTCAGATAATAAATAGGTTATCTGAAAAGCCATTCTAGCCTAAATGGTACACAAAGGCATGGGGCTGGCATATATAAATCGACAACCAACAGTTCTTTTTTTTTTTTTTTTT